GTGTGTGTGTGTGTGGCCAGCTCAGCCCACCAGGGGGCGGGGCTGGCTGGCATGTGGTGCTGGGGGATTGAACCGCGGTCCCTGTGCGTTGCTAAGCTTGTTCTAAGTAGGTGCTTTAGACCGCTGAGCCATCTCACCAGCCCTCGCCATCACTTCTGATCACACCTCCACCACCCCTGCCTCAGACACTGTCCCCTGCTACACCCCTTAAGGCTCTCTGCCAGTCGCAGACATGGTGCCACGCTAAGCCAAAGTAGTGCTCTCTGCCAAGACATTTCCCCTGTGTGGAAAGAAGGACACAACTCCGGAGGGATGGCAGGGGAGGCGCACGGGCCGGAGCCCTCACTGCCGCCCGGGAGCTTCTCTGGAGACGGCTGCGCTCTGGATGCACTGTCCCAACCAGGCCCTGAGCCAAGCCTTCCACAGATTTGGCCATGAGCCTTGATTTGGTGCCAAAGGAGCTCACAGGCATTGCAGTGCTGGAAGAGGTTCCGAGTACGCCCAGAGGGGAAATGTCACCCCAGCGCCTTGCATGCCTTTAAAACACAAGGACTTTAGCCAAATCCATGAACTCGCCTCGTAATAGATGAGATAGGGTGAATCCCCAGAGCGTGAACCACCAGGAAATGGTCGGGGGACCAAGTGAAGGTCGTCACTGGGAGATTCAGGAATGACATCTCACTTCTTGGCAAAGTATGACCCCGCAGAGCCTTTGCACACTAACTTAGGCTCCAGCTCCTTGAGTCAACGTTTCTTAAATTATAAAATTTAATACATGATTCTTACAAGAATTCCAGCCCGCACTGGAGAAGGTCCAGTAAATCATGACAGTTCTGGGGGCTTCTCCACACCCGCTGCAAAGGATGATCTCTGGGACCAGTGTGACGCCAGCTCGAAAGCCCCGCTTGATGTAAATTCTAAAGGGTACAGGTTCAATTTTGACTTCCCGGTGGAGCCATTTTTTCCATACTGTAGACACTGCGTGGCTCTGAGTGGCATTTCAGGGGCAGGAATTCTTTCTTAGTTGTAACACTGAATGGGATAGAAGTGTGACGCTGGGTCCATACGCAGGCTCCAAATGCTTTGTCCATTGTCTGTCGCAGACTGATCAGCCCACAGGAGCCTTCCCTACAGCTGTTTTCACAGCTGTGTTAGACAGGGCAGGGTGGGCGTGCTGGTGACCTCATGTGACCTCCCGGGCCCTCTCATGCACAGCTGTTCACTCAGCGCAGTCCTGACCCTGGCGACTCCAGGCGTGACTGTGTTTAGGGACAGCCTTAAAAGAACAAGCTGGGTGAAAACAAGGCCATCTAGGTGGTGTCCTGAGCAAAAAGCGCTGCTCCCTGGAAGAGGAAGAGACTCCGGGACAGGCGCGGAGAGGAGGCCCTGGGCAGACACGGCCGCCAGCAAGCCAAAGGACAGCGTCTCAGGACACCAACGCTGCCAGCCCCGCGCCTGGCCTGCTGCCCACCAGACCTAAGGAAAAGCCCTCACCGTCTGCGGTACGGCGGTTCAGCAGCCCTCGCACATCTTCCCATTTATGGATCCTAAGCACAGCTCAGTGATTTTTAGGAAGTTTGTGCATTGTCACTACCATTGCCGCCATCCTGTTCCGGAGCATTTTTTTAAAAAAATATTTGTGTGTGTGTGTGTGTGTGTGTGTGTGTGTGGCCAGCTCAGCCCACCAGGGGGCGGGGCTGGCTGGCATGTGGTGCTGGGGGATATGAACCGCAGTCCCTGTGCTTTGCTAAGCTTGTTTTAAGTAGGTGCTTTAGACCACTGAGCCATCTCACCAGCCCTGTTCCAGAGCATTTTAAAGTCCCCTGCGCCTGTCTTCTATCAGGCCCATCCCACACCCCGCTCCCTACCACCTGCTTCCTGTTCCCCAAGAGCTGCTCCTCCTACGCTTCACAGCGGGCGTGCAGTGTGCAGTCCATTAGGACTGGCTTCCTTAGCAGAGTGGTCCTTCTGGAGTTTTCTCTTTCTGGTGTCAGAGTTCGAACCCAGGGCTTCACATGCTGGGCAAGCGCTCCTCTGCTGAGCTGCATGCCTGCCTGTCCCCAGTTTGGAAGGTCCGTCCTGTCTCAGCCTGCTCAGGATTCCTCCTTTGTCCCAGTTGTAAAAGACTTCACGAAGCAGACACTGGTGTTTTTTCTTTCCGCACGCTGCTGTGTGCATGTGACTGGCTATGAGTAACGTCTGGAAAGCCTGCACACGCTGCACACGCTGCACACGCGGCTGCGGAGAAGTGATCCTCCTTGCAGATGCAGCCCATGGACCAAAATGCACGTTTCTGATGACCTTCTGAGACTTGGCCTTGCTGTGTTGCCCAGGTTGGCCTCAAACTTGTGGTGATCCTCCTGCCTCAGCTTCCCAAGTGCTGGGATTACAGGCATGTGCTACTACACCCAGCCACTTAAAGGGCTTTTAAAAGTATCATATTTTTCTAATATTATCTCACTACTTTCTTTTTTTAATTAAGTGATTTTCTTTTAAGAAAGAAACGTGTGTGCTGTGAGAAGAGTCCCAGCTTTGCTCACCGAGCGCCTCCAGGCCTCAGGTGAGGACGGATGTGTCTGAAACACACCAGCATCGGAGCTGGCTTCGTCTTATGCTGCCTGGGGTTACAGCTCTCTTCTGTATTTTCCAGAGGTGAGTATATTCCCTGGACTCTTTTTTTTCTGTATTTTAGGGAAAGGTCTACAGGGTGTTCAGGGTCTCACTACTAGTTTGGACTCATAGTGATTTGCCTATTTACAGCCTCCCACATGCTGGGATTACAGGCCCCATCCCAATTGCTGGCTCAGCACGCCCCAAGGGCAGGGCTGGCACGGCAGGCTCTGGATTGAACCCTCTGGTCCCTGTGCCTGCTTGCAGGCACTTTAATCCACTTTGGCCACCCTTTCCCTGGACTCTTATGAAAACTAATTTAATTAAAAATAGAATAAAGGGCAGCAGAGATAGCTCAGCAGCCTAAGTGCCTGCCTGGCAAGCACAAGGTCCCGGGTTGGATCCTCAGTACCACATGCCGCGCTGGCCCCACACTGTGCCGTCCACTGAAACTAGGAGTGGTAACATACACCCGTAATCCCAGCGCTGGGGAGGCTGAGACAGGAAGATCACTACGAGTCTCAGCTGCATAGTGAGACCCTGTACCAAATACATAAGATAAAATCTAAAAATAGGTTAAATACAGTACCAAGGAACCTTCATTTTGGGGCGTTGTCAGTGTGGAAGTGGGGTACCGTGTAGTCACCTCCAGGAAGGGTGCCTCAGTGCACCCGGCCAAGGTGGGGCCACAAAGGGTCATTCTTGAATTGAGAGTTCTGAGACCGGCTCTGATAGGGATGGGTTAGCAGGGAAAGGAGGGGGAGGGCTAATTCCCATAAGCGGAGTCTGAGCTCATCAGAAATGCAGTCCTTTTTTTTTTTTTAAATGGGAATCAAACTCAAGATCTTGCACTTGCCAGGCAGGCACTCTGCACTCTGCGCTGTATGCCCAGCCCAGAAATGTAGATTGTTACCCAAGCATGGTAGTATCCCAGCACTGGGGAGACTGAGGCAGGAGGGTCACACGTTCAAGTCCTGCCTGGACACCTTAGTGACTTAATGTGGCTGTCTCAAAAAGAAAAAAAGAAAAAAAGAAAAAAAAAAGAAAGAAAGAAAAAAGAACATTGAGGGATGTAGCTCAAAGTGAAGGCCCTGGGTCCAACTGTCAGTATGAAAGGAAGGAAGGAAGGAAGGAAGGAAGGAAGGAAGGAAGGAAGGAAAAGAAAGAAAGAAAGAAAGAAAGAAAGAAAGAAAGAAAGAAAGAAAGAAAGAAAGAAAGAAAGAAAGAAAGAAAGAAAGAAAGAAAGAAAGAAAGAAAGAAAGAAGAAAGATTCTCAGGCCCTACCCATACTATGAATGTTAAACTGTGGGGCAGCCTGCTGGCTTTAACTCCTCCCCCACACCCACCCCACCCACCCACCCTCTTCCCCTCCTGCCCTCCTCTCGCTCCTGCCCACTCCTCTCCCTCCTCCCCTCCCCCTGCCCTCCTCTCCCTCCTCGCCTTCCCACCCCCTCCCCCAGAATCTCACACACCTACAGTCTGAGCAGCCCTGACCAGCCGTGTGCTCCATGGAGCAGGCAGCCTTGGGGGTGGATCTGCACACGGGTCCTGGGAGCTGAGCAGCTGTCCCTCCTCCCTGACCCCAGGTCCTGAGCACCTTTTAGCCAGGTTCCTGTCTCCCGATCCCTCGCTCGCTCGCTCGCTTACCTGCATCGCTCTTGGGCACACTCCCCCTGTGACTCTTCTTGTACAGAATCCCACAGATGGTGACGATCAGAAGGAACAGCAACACCTGGTTGACTGCAACGAAATCAGAAGCAGATCGGTGGCGCTAAACCGGAAGCATGGGGCCTTCGAGAAGGGCAGAGGGTGTGGGCAGCCCTTGCGGGGCCTGGAACCCGGCTGCCAAGGAGGAAGCCGCGGGAGACCAGGCTGCCGGCAGGGTTTCTGCGGCGAGGCGGTGCACTTACTGTGGCAGGCGCCGGCCTGAAGCCCTCTCTAAGGGAGCACTCGGTTTCCTGATACCAGTACTTAAACACAGCGCTTCCAATCAGCCAGTCCCAACCAAGAGCGTGTTTGGTTTTTTTTCGGTTTAGGTTTTTGTGCTTTTTAGACAAGGGCTTGGCTGTGTAGACCAGGCTGCCCTTGAACTTGCAGCGGTCCTCCTGCCTCAGCCTCCTGAGAGCTGGGACTCTTACAGGGGTGCACCGCCACAGCCATGAGCAAGTTTTTTAGCTGTAAGAACGCAGCTGCACTTCAGATCATTCAGCCACTGGTCAAGGACGGTGGCAGAAAACCTCGCCCTGGTGAAAGCCCGGAGAGGCCAACACCTGGCCCCGTCCGGAGGCCCAGGGGGCCCTGGTCCGTGCTCACAGGCTTGCTCTGGGGATCTGCTGCGAAGTGGGGTGACTGGGACAGCGTTTCCAGGTGGGGGACACACACCACGGGCTGAGCACCACGGAGGAGGACGCTTGTGTTTGCCGCCTTAAGTGACTGTAAGTCAGTGTGGGAAAGCCTGTCTGCAACATCCTTGGCTCCCCTTTGTGAAATCGGCCGGTTCCGCCCAAAAGTAAGTGGCAGCTACAATTAGGGGATGGGGTTTTCCTGCAATTCACAAACCACTCGGGGCTTTAATGTCTGAAGATCGGGTCTGATCCTTTAAGAACGAGAGCGCAGAACTCTCCAAGGCCGCAGTAGACAGGAAGGGGCATATTTGGCTGGAATGAGACAACAAATCCTACTTGCCCAGCTTTGTGGCAGACGTGACCCTCCTCACAATAGGCCCACGCTGGGCAGAACTACTGAGCTGCCCCAGGAACGCCCTGCGAGGAGGAGAAGGAGGCCCAAAGCCGCCTCGGGAAAGCCAGCAATGGGGGGAGGGGGCTAGCACCGAAACGCTCCTCTGCCACATCCTTATTAATCATTACTTTCAAAAACTGTGATCTTACTTTTTCGCAGCAGCGCCATGTATGTCCTCGAGGGTACGAGCCGTCAGGCACCTGCGGGTGGAAGAATCACATTTTGTTTAAACGGGAAACCACCCAAAGTCCCCGGCAAACGCTCAGGACTCTGTCTTCTCTGAAAGTCTAGAGCGCTGGGAAGTCTGCGAACCTTGGAATGGCTCACGGCTCTGAACATGGAATTTTGGAAAGCAAATAAGTATTTCTTGATCCTTGTGGCTGAATGAAGCATGCAACAGGCCCCCAAGAAATACTTTTCATTTTGGTTTAATTTTCTAGGCAGGGTCTCGCTAGGCAGCCCGGTTTGGCCTGTGATCCTCCTGCCTCAGCCTCCCGAGTGGTGGGACTACAGCCCAGCACTGCCGCACGCAGGCAGCATCAGAGGCTCTTCTGTCTTCAGGGTCTTTAACCTTCTCCAAATAGAGCCTGGAGGCTTCCAGAGGCCGGCATGGAAACAGCGCCATCCTCCTCACAGGCGCTTGCCAGCTGGTGGCGACTGAGCTCCTCCTGGAAGCCTGGGGCTGTGCTGCAGGCCAGGATGACCCCAGCCCTGTCTTTGGGGAGTGCTCAGTACCAGGGGAGACAGAGTCTCACACAGAGCAGACAGCCACTGGCCCAGCGGTATGAAGCAGGTCTTGGGATAGAGTAATGGAGTGGAGATTATGCCAGGAAGAGAAATGGGGGGCCTCCTGGAGGAGGTGGCATTTTAAGGGGAGGAAAAGAGGATGGGGGAGAATTCCAGGTGAAGGGACCAGGCCCCTGTGGCTGGAGAGAGCTTTGAGGACTCCAGGAATCCAAGAAGGCCGGCGAGGAATCCCAGGAGATGGCAGGGCCTGAGCCTCTGCACCCAGATTTCCTGGCGGTCTGACAAAGCCCGAGGACCGGGTACAGAGCAGCGCACACCTGTAATCCCAGCACTCAGGAGGCTGAGGCAGGAGGCTCATTGGGAGTTTGAGACCAGCTTGAGCTACAAGTGAGCTCCAGTCCAGCCCGAACTGCACAGCGAGAGGCCCTGTCTCTCCCCCTCCCCAAAGGATCCCTCTTTTATTCCAGCTCTTTTAGAAGTGGCGCTGCTCACAGTCCACACACGTCATGTGACTCTCCCCTGCTTGCCCTGTACTCTCTAGTGGGGAAAAAATCCTTTTCTTTGCTGCCTCTGTTCACATTATAAATTAACTCACAAATATACATTTGATAGAAATATAAACGTCCATGATTTTCATACATACAAAAATATTCACAGAAACAGGTTTTGGGGAGACGGTTGGGGGATAGGGAGGCTCTTTGGTTGTCTTTCTGTACAACAGCTAAAAGGCAGTGGTATTTCCTTAATTCCTAAAAAAAAAAAAAAAAAAAGCAAAAACAATGTAACCAGCACCTCACAAGCCAGGGGAAAAATAATTCCCCTAAATTTCCAGTGTGTCTTTTTTCTTTTTTGCATTTAGGACAGGGTGTACAGGGTCTCACTGTGTAAATCAGACTCAGAGTGATCCGCCTGTTTACAGCCTCCCAAGTGCTAGGATTACAGGCACGTGCCACCACGCCCAGTCTCAATCGCCAGAGAGACCCTGACTCAAAAAGAAAAAAAAAAAAAGTTGTATTATAAAGAAAGCTAATTACAGAAGTGTAAAGAAAAGAAAGCAAACAATACTAAGGGGAGCTGGGCATGGTGGCACACGCCTGTTATCCCAGCACTCGGGAGGCTGAGGCAGGAGGATCGACAAGCTCTAAGCCAGCTGGGCTACAGAGCAAGACCCCATCTCAAAGAAACAAAAAAGTAAATGAACAGATTGGGGAAAGTGAGTTTGTGACCCAGCAACGTACACCATCTCTTGAGTAATTAATGTCTCTTCATGGTGAAAACACTCAAACTCCTTTCTGTTAGCATTTAAAAACTACGTACAGTAGGTTATCAGGACCTAAATCACGCTCAGAACTTCTTTCCGTCTGACTATAACACATGCATGGATTTTCATAACCAGCATCCAGCTGGGAGTGCTGGTCCATGCCTCTAATCCTAGCACTCTGGGAGGCTGAGGCAGGAAGACTGCAAGTTTGAGCCCAGCCTAGAAAAATAAGGGACTTCGTAAGATTTTTATCTCAACATGAAAAATAAAAAAGGGTTGGGGATGTAGCGCAGTACGAAGGCCCTAGGTTCCACCCTGCTGCCAAAAATAAAACAAATCCCACATGGGAAAGAGAACTACTTCAAGCCTTCCAAAGGGTTCCCTTTTACAGCGGACCCTCACAGCGCCTGCCCCTGGCCAACCACAGATCCTTTCTCGAAGTTCTGCCTTTCCAGAATGTCATATGAAAGATACACACGGCGCGACTCTTGGAGTACCCTTCCCTTCACACAGGGGTCTGGGGCTCATGCCTGGGGTTCTGCATACTGACTGCAACTTTCTGCTGCTGAACAAGGGCTTGTCCAGTTGTGGCATGCATGCACCACATTTATTTAGCCTGGTACCCACCAAAGGACATCAGCACTGTTGTTTTTTTGTTTTGTTTTCTTTCTTTAATGTATTTGGTACAAGGTCTCCCTACATAACTCAGACTCATAGTGATCCTCCTGTCTCAGCCTCCCCAGCACTGGGATGACAGGTATGCGCCACCACACCTGATTTGGGGCCAGTGGTATGCCTTGGGTTCCGGGGCTGGGTGGCATATGGTGCAGGTGACCAAACTCTGGTCCCTGTGCTTACCCGGCAGGTGCTCAGACCTCCAAGCTATTTCTCCAGCTCAACATCAGCGCTGTTGCCAGTGCTTTATGACCATAAATAGTGCTTCTATGAACACTTGCTTACAGGTTTTGTGTGACAGTAGAGATAAACATGTAGAAGTTGTGCTGCTGGGTCATTGGCCAGCTGTGTATTTAACTTTCTAAGAAGCTGCCAGTTTCTTTTTCTAAGTAGAAACAGCTTTTAATTTTTCACTCCCATCCACTAGGAAGGGACTCGCCCTGTGTTCTTGCCAGCACTTCGCATGGTGGATATTTTTATTTTAGCTGCCCTAATAGGTATATTGCCCTGTGAATTTTATTCGCATTTCCCTAATGACTACTGACATCCAGCTTATTGTTATTTTCCTCTTGCCTGTGGCAAAGTGTCTGTTTAAATCTTTCCCCTTTTTTGGTCAGATTTTCTTAGTTTTGAATTTGGAGAGTTAGTTATATATTCTGGTCCTTTTTTTTTTTTGTTTTTTGTTTTTTTTTTTTTTTTTTGGCGGAACCAGGGATTAGAACTCAGGCCCTTGCGCTTGTCAGGGAAGCACTTATTCCACTGAGCCATCTCCCCAGCCCCTTGGTCCTCTGTTGAATATGTGATTTGCAAATACTTTTACCCAGTGTTGGCTTCTTTTCATGCACTTAGCAATGAATTCCACAGCACAAAAGTTTTTAATTGTGACCATGTCGTAGTCACCATTTTTTCTTTTATGGAACATGGTTTTGGTGTTCATCTAACCCAATAAATTCGGATAGTCATTGTTTCTCTTATGTTTTCTCCTGGAAGTCTGTTTTTTATATATTTATATTCTAAAGTAATTTTATACACAGCATGAAGTAGAGCTTAAACTTTGGTTTTTAGCAAGTGAAGATCTAGGTGTTCCATGAACATGAATTTCTCGCAGAGAAGGGAGAAAGGGGCAACCCCGTGTCTGGGATCCACTCCCACCCTTGGTGCCACAGTGTCGCAGCTCCAGATGGTGGCTGGTGGCTAAGCAGTGAGCTGAGTCGCCGGAGACTTGCGCTGCCCACAGCGTGGCTCCAGGGCGCAGGAAGCAGAGAAGGGAGCGGCCCACCGCGCAGTTGGCGGCAGGCTTCTCCGCACTTCACGCCCCTCGCCCTGCGCTCTGCTCTACAGTGTGGGATTTGTGCTCAGCAGGCAGGCGTTAGAACACTCTGTTCTCCAAACACGCCTGTAACGGCTCTGTCCTCCTCCTCACGTGGGGAAACGAGGTTCCGAGAGGCCCAAGACTGCGCCAAGGCACCCCGCAGAGGACAGCAGAGCAGCGAGCCAGAGCCTCTGGGCCCCGGGAAGCGCACAGGGCTCCTGGGCACAGCGAGGGCTGGCGAGCGGCGCACTACGTGCTGGGCTTAAGTGTTTCGCACCCACACACGGCAGAACCCACTTGGTCGTATCATTCTATGAAGCTAGTACACAGGCTCAGGAGAGTCTGCAGCTTTCTGTCACTGACGCATGTAAGTCACGCGTAGTCACCGGGAGCTGCAGTGCTTTAATGCACGTCGACTCTGGGCAGCAGTCTAGTGAGGGTGCTCACTCGTGTCCGCTTCAATCATTCATGTTTCTTTAGGGTGAAAACGCCCAGGACCGTTTGCCCCAGCACGCACACACAGCACGTCACGCGATCTACGGTCGCCCGCCGCACAGCAGAACATCGCAGCTTCTTCCTCCTGACCCAACACGCCCACACGCCCACACCCACCGTCACAGCCACGAGGTGAGGCAAGAAGACGGCGAGCTTGGGCCACCTGGGAAGGTAAGTGCTTCAGTGACACCACGCCTCCGCATACGTGGAAGTGCAACTCAGGCCAAAGCCCCGGGTTCAACACCAGTTCAAGAAAAAAAGAAAATCATCATTTTGACTGAAATAGACAATTTCATTTTTGTGAGATAGAGTCTCACTAAGTAGCCCAGGCTGGCTTCCAGTGCTTGGCAATGCTCCTGTCTCAGCCTCCAGGGTGCTGGGGTTACAAGCATGGGCCACCATGCCCGATTTGGGACGCTTTGTCAAGTGACATATATTAAGAGGTAGAGTGAGCTGGCCCTGCCCCTGGGTGCCCTGAGCCAGCCACAGAGTCCGGGCGTGGTGACACATGCCTGTAATCCTAGCACCGGGGAGGCTAAAACAGGTGGATCACTATGAGTCTGAGCTGTGTAGTGAGGCCTGTACCAAATGCATAAAAATAAACAAATAAATAAAAAGAGTGAAGCGCTGTTTCAAAGAATCACCCTGCAGATTAGTGACGGATCATAAAATGAGCTTCCTGGCTGGGGAGAGAGATAGCTTGGAGGTCT